TCCGCTTCTGCGCCCAATTGTCCGCATCTGCGGACTCGCATCTGCGCCCATATTTTCGCAGATGCGGAAACACCAGAACCAGCAATAGCAATACTGAAGAAAATGATCCGAAATCAATCCGAAACACGCCCGAGCCCCTCGGGACCACCCCGTACGAACATACCAACAAGTCATATAACATAACACGTACCTACATGTGGCCTCAAAACACACCTAACAACATCGAAACGACAAACCACGCCTTAATTTAAAATCATTGAACTTGAAACTTCAACTTCTACAACCGATGCTGAAACCTATCAAATCACGTCCAGTTGACCTCAAATTTTGCACACAAGTCACATTCGACATTACGGACCTGCTCCAACTTTCAGAATCAGAATCCGACCCTAATATCAAAAAGTCTACTCCCGGTCAAACTTTCCAAAATTCTAACTTTCGCCATTTCAAGCCAAATTCTACTACGAACCTCCAAATCACGATCCGGACGCGCTCCCAAGTCCAAAATCACCCAATGGAGCTAACGGAAAAATCAGAAATCCAATCCGAGGTCTAATACCAAAAAGTCAAGACTTGGTCAAACTTTTCAAATTTAAGGCTTTAAGCTGAAAATCATTCTTCTAAATAAATTTCGAATAACCTGAAAACCAAAACCGACGATTCACATAAGTCATAATACATCATACGGAGCTACTCATGCCCTCAAACATCCGAGCAAAGTGCAAATGCTCAAAAGGACCGGTCAGGTCGTTAATCTCATACTATTCTACCCCGAAGGCAAATTGATGAAGGCCATATCACCGACAAACTTAACACATTCAGTCAAGGGCGACGACACCACATTACTGATGAAAATTTTGCCACGCTGGAAAATACCAAGTCTCGTCACTCTATCCACCCAAACCTGAAAATTCATAGTCCGATTGCCTTTCCTCCGCCGGAAATAAAATACTGAATCTCTGAAGCATGCACTGAGCAAACCTCCTTTCAAGTTATTCACTGCTTCGATGCATAGGCAAGCACCCTACTACTACACCAATACTGTGCGATAGCAACGCACGAATCGTCATAACAATCAATGCCAAATCTCAAAGCCTTAGGTAGTACTGATACTGAGCTAAAACGATAGAACGAGCTTCCGCAAGGCGACGACAATAGACCAATCAAATACGTAGGTAGAAACATCATGCACCACATCTGTAGTACCATCACAATTCCTCAATTCCCAATTTATAACAAGCGCTTCACGTCGCATAAGGTTGAATAGGAAAGAAACAAAGGCATAAGCCTCAATGGAATCAAATCGCACGATGAGGAATCAAGAAGGGAAGTGCTCCTAACATCCCTATAGCCTCTCCAAGATAAGTACAGACGTCTCCGTACCGATCCACAAGACTCTACTAGACTTGCTCATGACTCGTGAGACCTAAGTGAACCTAATGCTCTGATACCATGTTGTCACGACCCAAAATCCATTAAAGGCCGTGAGGGCGCCGGACACCGTTGTCAGGCAAGCCAACAATTAAATTTAGGTCTCTTTTAATATTGTTAAAATCATAGTATTACTTCAATTAAATAGTAGAAGGTGAAAAAAATTCAGAGTAAATATTAATATTTTTCACAAATCTCAATACTGAATAACCCATATTCATCCTAGAACCCGGTGTCATAAGTGCACGAGCATCAACTAGGAAAAATAAAATAAAGTACATCATCTGTCCAGAATACAACTTGGACAGGAGAGAGGGAAATATAAATACTCTGAATGGGACTCCGCTGACTGCGGATCGTAACATAAGATGCAGCTCCCTAAGTCCCTGTATCAACCACGCCGCTACGCCCACAAGGCCACTAGACATACATGTGCCTGTACAACAAAATGTACAACAAGTGTAGTATGAGTATGAAAACAACGCGTACCCAGTAAGTATCCTGTCTAACCTCGAAGAAGTAGTGACGAGGGGTCGACTCTGACACTTACTATGGGCTATAAATGAAATGCCAATGATATGATTTAAACATGAGTTATATAAAACGACTGTAAGCTCATTATTTTGAAGTAAGTAAGCAATTCTTTTAAAATTAAGAAATCTCCAAATTTATTTCTCATCATTTAACAATTTATCTCAGGCCAATGAGGCAATATCATTTATTATAAATTTCAAAGCAATCAATTAAATCATGCGCAAGTCATGCCGAGGGCGTACGACCCGATCACACATAAATATTTAAACTGTGCACTGCCGAAGGTCGAACGATACGAACCAACAACTGTGCACTGCCGAGGGTCGAACGACACAGACCATTAACACATCTATTTAACCTGCCAAGGCGAATGACCCGCTCCCATGAGAGTAGTGGAAATTTACCCCGCTTGCGGGAATATATTTGCGACGCGGTTGCACATAAAATTTTTCAAATAATTATTATTATAATATTTTTTAATTCTTTTCAACATATGAAATCCAAATGAAAACTTTCAAGTCCCGAAATCCTCAATTCCAACTCTTTTCAAGGCATTAAATAATCATACTCGATCTAAATTCCTTTCAAGGCAAGTAATAAACAAGATCAAATAACGATATTAGCAAATCATGGTGTAAACCTAGAACTACCCGGACATAGGCATAGTTAGTAGCTACGTACGAACTCTCGTCATCTCGTGCGTACGTAGCCCCCACAAGTAGAAGCACATATTAATTTAGTTCACCTATAGGGTTAATTCCCTCTTACAAGGTTAGAAAAGAGACTTACCTCGCTCCGAAATTCCATAACCGGCTCCTACGCCCTTCCGACAACTCGAACTGATGCCAACGCTCTAAAACTAGTCGATAAATGTGCAAACCCATAAATATACTCTAATACTCATTATAATCCAATTTAACAATTTCCAACTCTGTTCGAAAAGTCGATAAAAATTACCGTCGGGCCAACGTGCCCGGATTTCGAAATTTTTTGAAGATAAACTTTACCCATAACCCCAAGAACTCAAATATATAATTTATTTCCAATTCCATGCCCAAATTCGTGGTCAAAATCCAAAAATACCAATTTCTAGGTTTTTCTTCCAAATCCCACATTTTCTACAAATTTTCATGCTTAAATTCTCATAGTATCCATGTATTTAACTTATAATGAGTGGAAATCACTTACCTTGTGTTGCTTGATGAAAATCTCCCTTTAAAACTCTCCAAAATCGCCCCAACCAAGTGAGAAATGAGAGAAGAAGAGCCAAATCTCGCTCTTAAAAACATTCTGTGACTACAATATAACACATTGAGGAGGCAATAAATAGGGGATCGGGGCTAATACACTCGATACGACCGGCCAGGTCGTTATATCCTCCCCTTCTTAAAACCAATCGAACGAGTATAGAGACATACCTGAAGTGGTGAAAAAATGAGGATAACGGCTACACATATCATGCTCGATCTCCCAAGTCGCCTACTCGACTGGATGACCCATCCACTGAACCTTCACTGAAGCAATGTTTTTCAACCTCAACTTTCGAATCTGCCTGTCCAGAATGGCCACCGGCTCCTCAACATAAGACAAATCTTTGCCTAACTGGACTGAGCTGAAGTCTAACACATGAGACGGATCGCCGTGATACTTCCGGAGCATAGAAACATGGAATATTGGATGAACTGCAGCTAGACTAAGTGGCAGTGCATGTGTAGGCCACCTCTCCAATCCTCTCAAGAATCTCAAAAGGCCCAATATACCTAGGGCTCAACTTTCTCTTCTTCCCGAACCTCATAACACCCTTCATGGGCGAAACCCGGAGCAAGACCCGCTCCCCAAGCATGAATGCAACGTCGCGAACCTTCTGATCCGCATAACTTTTCGGTCTGGATTGAGCTGTACAAAGTCGATCCTGAATCAATTTAACCTTTTCCAAAGCATCTTGAACCAAGTCTATACCCAATAACCTAGCCTCGCCCGGCTCAACCAACCCACTAGAGACCGACACCGCCTATCATACAAAGCCTCATACGGGTCCATCTGAATGCTCGACTGGTAGTTGTTGTTGTAGGCAAACTCCGCAAGTGGAAAGAACTGATTCCATGAACCCAAACTCCATCACACATGCACGGAGCATATCCTCCAATATCTGAATAGTGCGCTCGGACTGCCCGCTGAGGGTGAAATGAAATGCTCAACTCAAGCCGAGTGCCTACTCATGCTGTACGACTTTCTAAAATCGCGATGTAAACTACGTACCCGATCAAAGATAATGGATACTGGCACGACATGAAGCCTGACAATCTTGCGGATATAAACTCGAGCTAGCTGCTTAGAAGAATAAGTAGTCACCACTAAAATTAAATGAGCCGACTTGGTCAACCTATCCACAATCACCCAAACTGCATCGAACTTCCTCTGAGTCTGTGGGAGCCCAACAACAAAAACCATAGTGATCCGCTCCTATTTATACTCCGGAATCTCTAGCTTCTGAAGCAATCCACCTGGCCGCTGATGCTCATACTTTACCTGCTGACAATTTAGGCACTGACACTACTAGAAAAACGCTAACTTCCGATCGAAATTTCCGACTGAAACTTTTTGTCGAAAATCTCCGACGGAATCCGTCGGAATTGTCAAAAAAAAAATATTTCATATATATTTTAAAATTTTTTCGACCACATTTTCGACCAAATCGGTCGCAACTTTTGGCGAAAAATTTATTTTGACTGGTTTGACTTCATTTCCGACCGCTTTGGTCGGTAGTTTTTTTTAAATAAAATAAAATAATGATTCCGACCGAATCGTTCAGAATTCTTTTTTAAAAACCCTACATCCCCTCCCCAAAAAACACAACCTCCGTTTTCAATTCTCTCATCTCTCCCTCTCGTCCCCAAGGTCCTCTCTTCCTCTCGTCTTTCTCCCCCGTCCCCAAGCTCGTATTTTGCCCTCTCTCTCGTTTCCTCATCCCTTCTCCCTCTCCTTCCTCCTCCCTTTTTCCCTTAATTAATTATTTTTTTTACTTTGTTTTGCAGCAGCTAGAGTGGTCTTCGTCGTCGGCGGAAGCAGCTCCTCAGTCGACTTCTCCGGCATTTTTTTCGTCGAGGTAAGTGTTTCGTTAAACCACATTAAGTATTAGAAATCTCATTGTTTGATTACAAAATAAAAAAATAAAAGGAATAAAGATATTTTAAACTTCAAAAGGAAGATTTTCTTTCAGAGAAGAAAGTAACCGAACGCCCTCTTTGACCAAGACGTGAACTCATATTCTTCTTTTTTTTTTCAAAATCTCTCAATAGATCAAATTACAAATCTTTTGAAAAATATGTCAGAAAGTAAATATAGTGTAGATTGCTATAATTGTCCAATTTGAAATTTGTACTCTGTTGATGTCAATATGACAGATGTTAGAATTTAGCATCCTAGGAGTATTTATTTCTCCTAGACTAGATATTCTTTGTGAAAATTGAGAGAGGGCCAAATTAGCACATTAATGCAACTTACTCCCGACAATTGATTGATAAGATTAGCTTTCAAGAAATTAAAGCTTCTCTTAATTATCCAAAGAGAGAAGAATATGTTGAATTAGGTATGGTTGAAATTTTGGGTTAAACAAGAATATGTTAAGAATACATGTCCCCTCATAAGCCCGAATTTAAATTTTATGCTAAATAAGTAATTCGCTAAGCTTATAAGCTAATTAAACTAGCTTAATCCTATCATAAAGATTAGAAAATTATTTAATCCTACAACTTCACAAGACAAATAATGATTTGTTTAAAGTGAGAAAATGACCGATGAAGATTAATTTTTCCAAAAATTATAATCAAAGAAACATATAAAATAATATAGTAATATTTCTATATTCACTTTTAGAATGATACTAAATTTAATTTTTTCAATTTCAACATTAAGATTAATTTGTAAATTTGAGAAATCATTAATTAATTTGGATTATATGAAAATTTAAGAAGCTATTCAAATTTAATTAGTATATTTAAAGACCTATATTATTTAGAATATGGATTAATGTGAGATTTCGAGTGTTAAATAACTAGTTTAAATAAATCAAATTACTTTAAATATCTCATTTATAGATTTCTATTTGTGTAAATGGAATTTGTGCATCGTAGATGGATGTATAATAGGAATCATCCTAATCGTGCGGGGTTGAGGGGTGAATTTATTGAAGTGGTTGCTAAATTTATTGCTAAGGCTCAATCACTTGATAATTTTCTTATTGGAGGAAGGATTAGGTGTCCTTGTGTGAAATGTAAGTGTGTTAAGTCATTGAAATCAGATGAAATTAAAGTCCATCTCTACAAGAAAGGGTTTGTAGAAAATTATTATATATGGACTGTTAAATTATTATATATGGACTGTTCACGGGGAGAATCATGCTAGTTTAGATGATGTTAACGTTCATAATTCTTTTGGTGGTGAGTGTAGCCCCATTGCGGAGCATAATATTGAAAATTCTCGATACAATGAAATGATGAGGGATGCTTTTGGGACGTTTCCTGGGGTTCAATCCGAACCAAATGATGAGGCTAAGCGTTTCTATGAACAATTAGTGGAAGCTAGTCGTCCATTGTATGAAGGCTCGGTGCATTCCAAGTTGTCTGTTGCGGTTAGATTGCTAAGTATTAAATCAGATAGTTCTATTTCCCAAGCGGGCATGAATTCTATTATTGGACTTATGAATGAACTTAATCCGAGTAACATTGACTTACCAAAAGATTTCTACACTGCTAAAAAATTGGTTTCTAAGTTGGGTCTTTCATCAGAGAGAATTGATTATTGCGAGAAAGGTTGCATGTTATTCTATAAGGATGACACATCTCTAGAGAACTGTAAATTTTGTAATCAGCCTCGTTTTAAGGAAATCAGAAATGCCAATACAAAAAAGAAAGTTCCAGTTAAAGCGATGCATTACTTACCTCTTATACCTAGGTTAAAGAGGTTGTATGCATCAATGAGCTCTGCTCCTCACATGAGATGGCACTACGAACATAGAAGGCCACCTGGTATTCTCTGCCATCCGTCAGATGGAGAAGCGTGGAAGCATTTTGATATGGTGTTCCCCGAGTTTGCTAGTGAACCAAGAAACATTAGGTTGGGATTATGCACAGATGGATTTACTCCATTGCTGTCTCTGTTGCACCATATTCATGTTGGCCAGTGTTTGTTACTCCGTATAATCTTCCGCCCGAGTTGTGTATGACAAGTCCATATCTGTTCCTAACTTGTATTGTTCCAGGTCCACGCAATACGAAAACTTTGATTGATGTATACTTGCAGCCTTTGATTGATGAGTTACAATTATTATGGCACCAAGGTATAGAAACATATGATATATCAACCAAACAAAACTTCAGATTGCATGCTGCTTTGATGTGGACTATAAATAATTTTCCTGCTTATGGAATGTTGTTCGGGTGGTCGACTGCTGGAAACTTATCTTGCCCTTGTTGTATGGAAGACACAAAAGCATTTACTTTGAAACATGGAGGTAAAAATACATGGTTCGACTGCCACAGTAGATTCTTGCCAATGAATCATGAATTTAGGCGAAATACAAGTGCATTTATGAAGAACCTAACTGATTTTAAGGAGCCACTGGCCTGCTTGTGTTCAGAAGAAATTTGGAACAGAGTAAGGGATCTGCCTAAAGTAATAGAGTCTCCACCATCTAAGATACCGGGTTATGGTGTCGCACACAACTGGACTAAACGGAGCATATTTTGGGAATTACCTTATTGGAAGCACAATCTTCTTCGGCATAATCTGGACGTTATGCATATCGAGAAGAATTTTTTGACAACTTGTTTAACACTATTATGGATGTTACTAACAAGACCAAAGATAACTTGAAGGCCATGATGGACTTAAAGGAATATTGTAGGCGAAGTAAGTTGTATCTGACATACTTTAACAACAAGATTCAGAAGCCCAAAGCCAGTTACACGTTCACCTTGGATGAGAGAAGAGAGATTTGTAGTTGGGTTAACAATTTGAGGATGCCTGATGGGTACGCATCAAATTTATCCAGGTGTGTTGACATGAAAGAAGGGAAGTTGACGTCAAGAAAAGCCCTGATTGTCATATTTTAATGGAAGCACTGATGCCTATTGCATTCAATGCATTACCTGATTGAATATGGAAACCGATTACAGAGATAAGTTGCTTTTTCAAGGATTTGTGTTCTAGCACATTGAGGGTGGAGAACTTAATTTATATGGAGAGTAACATTATCTTAACTTTAAACAAGCTGACAAAAATTTTCCCTCTTGGTTTTTGTGATGTAATGGAACATCTTCCAATTCATCTTGCACAAGAGGCACGACTTGGAGGGCCAGTTCAATGTAGATGGATGTATCCCTTCGAGAGGTAATGAAATTTAATCATTTACCTTTTGTTTTTGCTTTAAAGATTGTCTCGTCTAAAAATAACACTATGCAGGACTATTGGCAAATGTAAACGGACCATAAAAAATAGATCAAGAATTGAAGGTTCGATATGCGAGGCGTATGTGGCTAAAGAAACATCTTATTTCTGTTCATACTATTTTGAACATGATGTGCCATGTTTGAGAAATAGACCGAATCGGCACGACGATGGAGGCAAAATCGATCATTTGGCACCAGCCTTTTCCATTTTTAATCAACCAGGTAAAGGAGGTCCAAAAAATAGTCCAAAGCGAAGGTTGTCTGAGATGGAGCTAAAGTCAGCTACAACACATGTATTGTTAAATTGCCCTGAGGTCCAACCTTATTATAGGTAAGTATATATTCGTATATATTACGGACTTTTATATTAAATATACCACTGATTTAACTAATAAATATTATAATGGCAGTTACTTTGTGGGTACATATGGGCAAGATGTTGTTTATCCCAAGTTTTCAGAGTGGTTTAAAGAATTTATAAGTATTACTTATTATTTAACATGATTTTTATTATATGTAATTAATTATATATATTTTTAAAATTCTAAATTATATATATAGGTTCATGATCCAGCTAATGGCTTTAAAGACCCATTTTTATGTGATATAGCTTGGGGACCTGACCCTAGAGTAAGAATGATGTCTAAATACTTGGTCAATGGGTACAAGTTTCATACAGAAGAATGGTCTAATGGAAAGAAAACCAAAAATAGTGGGGTGTGGGTGAAAGGTGATAGAGATGTTGATTATTATGGTGTGCTTCAAGAGATTTTGGAATTGGAATATGCTGTAGGTTGACCGAAGAAAAAGTTGTTTTTCTTTCGATGTCAATGGTATGATCCAACACCGAATAGAGGTACAAAGGTGCACGCTCAATACAAAATAGTTGAAATTAAACACACGGGGCAATATAGACTTTATGATCCCTTTATCATTGCACAAAAGGTGAAACAAGTGTATTATGCTCCTTATCCTTTGAGCAAGAATAAGTCTGCATAGCGGGTAGTTTTGAAAACAAAGCCCGTGGGTAGAGTGGTAGTCGAAGATGCATTAGATGTGGCGTACCAGAATGAAATTTCAAATGTTGAATCAATAGCGGATGATGAATTAGCAGATGAATTGCAGCATAATGAAGGGATATATGAAGAATTTGATTCTTCTGTCCTTGCTACAAATGAGGACGAAGATAGAGGTGTTGAACATGAAACAATTAATGAAGAAGAATTACTAGATGAAAGTGAAACAGGCGATGATGAAGACTTAGATGATTACTATGAAGATAGCGATGAGGATTGACTTGTTATTCTTTTTTAGGTTGTTCTTCCTTTAATCATTTAATATTTTGCAGAATTGTTGTATGTTTTTTATGACATGTTAAACATTTTATGTTATTCCTTTAATTATCTATTATGTTGCAAAATTATTTTATATTTTTATGACTTGTTAGGTTGTTTATTTTATTTCTTTAGTCGTTTAATTATTTTATATTTACTATCACTTATTGTATTTTTTGTTGTATTTTATTACGATTATATTACAGATATGGCATCTAAGGGGAAGGAAAAGATGAAATCTAAGAAGAAAAAATAATCTGTTCCAACTTCCTCAAGTATGCCAAATATGTATCCTCTTCTTCCTCATCCTCCCCAGTCGACTTGATTACCATCTACCATGTTCACTGTCCCCCCTCAATCTTATAATTCAGT